CTTGTTCACTACAACGAAAACACTTAATAGATGGTTTAGAATTACCATATGGTATCTGTTGGACGGGATGGGAATCCCGAGGGCAAATTAGTCGATTGTTCTAATCGTTCCTAAGCATTGGCCTCCATGTTCTGCGTTTTTCAATAGCAAGTGCACACTCCACAGTGAGTGAAGGCTGAGGACATCCTGCAGGGGTTGGCGTAACCCTCCCAAGTACCGTGCTACCATCTGTTCCTCCGTCTCAGATAAGTCTTTCCGAGCGACCAACTGGTAAAATTCCTCTATGTAATCGTCAACTGATCTCAAACTCAGCCTCAACATATGACATTGGATTTTGGACAGATTCCGTCGTTTAGGCCTTTAATTAAGCGTTTTTGCCGTTTATGGTAATTTTTGTTTTAGCAATATCTTAGTCAAATAAACTCGGATTTAATTTTTGTTTGTTGCAGGATGATCCTGGTGATTAGGAGAATCAAGTTCCGTCATTATTTCAATTTTTTCCATTTTTGGAAAAAACAATATTTTCTCATTATTATATAATTTTTTCGAATTTTCTTAAGTTTTTCGCTATTTAAACTTTGTAAGAAAATATTGTTACTAGATGTAATTTGAGGAATAATGGGATTGCTACTAGATGTAATTTGAGGTTTATACCGAATGATGAGTTTAGAGCACAGGCTATATGTATATTAGGGTACAAATAGAAAATATGGGCTTCTTGGAATAAAAAGAATGGTTGTGTACAAATAAATTCAACAAATTTAGAGCATACGTGTAAGGGACAAAACAAATAGGCATTGCACTGCAACATATATAGCAAATAGGTATTTAGACACTTTCAAAGTTAACCCTGATTGGAAGTCTAAACTTATTATGAAGGCTGTAAAGGATGATTTGAAGTTGACAATTAATAAAGTTATAGCTTGGAGGGCTAGAAGATATGCTAGGTTATGAATACAAGGATCTGATGAGCATCAGTTCGGTATGCTTAGGTCTTTTGTAGCTGAGATTTTGAAAACCAATCCTAGGTCTACATGCATAGTTGCCATGCATGAACTAAAGTTTCAAGGTATATACATTTGTATATAAGCTTGTAAAAGAGGCTTCTTGTCAGGTTATAGGAAACTTTTGGGATTAGATGGGTGTTTCTTGGAAGGGACATTTGGAGGTCACATGCTTGTAGTTGTGGCATTAGATGCCAATGATTGCATTTACCCAGTAGCATATGCACTAGTGGAGAGTGAGAATGCTACTACTTAGAGGTGGTTTCTACAACACTTGGGTGAAGATTTGAAGATCTTGAATAGTAATGCTTGAACCTTTATGAATGATAGACAAAAGCATCTACAAAATGTCATAGACGATTTGTATCCTGAGGCTGAACATCATTTTTGTGTCAGACACATGTATAATAATTTCTTCAGGACCGAATGTAAGTGTTTGACTCTGAAAAACTACTTATGAAGGGCTACCAAGTCGACGGCAGTGGCTTATTAAAATTTTTGGATGGGTGAGATTGAGAAGGAGGGCAAAGCAGCACATTCTTGGTTAAAGAAAAAGTAACCAAGTGAATGGAGTAAGGCTTACTTTATGACAAAAGTGAAAAACTTAAGAAATAGCGAAAAACTTAAGAAATAGCGAATTTTCTTAAGTTTTTCGCTATTTTCTTAAGTTTTTCGCTATGGATTTTTATCTTTCCTATAATCTTCCTATGCATTAGTTGGTATTAGAGCCGAAGTCGATCCTTCACCATGCCATCAAGAAGACGTCAAGAAGCTTGTGAAGCCCTAGTAGAGGAAATACATAGCCTTGATAACATCGCACAGCTGCGTCAACAAGTGGAGTTGCTGCCACAGCAAGATGCTGCACTTATGCCG